GACATCGGGAGGCTCTTCCTAGGCGTTTTCCTTCCTTAGTGCGGCGCTAGGGGAAGGGACGGAGCCCAACTGAGCCGACCCCCTCGGGGCGTGTCTCCGGTGGGCCCGGCCCTTTCTCCTTTTGATGGCATTGAGCGGTCCGCGCGGGCCTGCAAGGGGGGCGCGGTGGGACCTGCGCCCGCCTTCTTGTGGGCTGCCGCGGCCAAGCACCTGCTACGAGGCCTCGGTGGAAGAGAGGCCGGCCTTTCTGCTCTCCTTGTGTCTCTGCCTGCCCAGACCCCCCGTTACCCGCGCGGCAGGCCGCACGCGTGAGGAGAGCCCCATGGCTGTCCCCGGGCGGGCACCGAGCGAGCGCCTTTCCTATGGCCTGTCGGATGTCTCTCCCCGCCCAGCGGTATCGCTTTAGCTGTTCTGTTTCAGGTTTTCTGGAAAACGGCGTTGTTAGAGAGCAATCTTCCAGTTTCAGTTTCTTCCTACCCCCATGACATCCAAAAATACAATTACTCTTTTATTACTGTGTGTATTCATGGGTGCTTAGTAGATGGGTCATTCTTGAAAACTCTTCCTTGAATAAACTATTTTTCAAAGTGGCCGTGAGGTTTTTCTGTTGTTTGGTTTGGGGTTGGGTTTTGGTTTGGTTTTTTGGGGTTTTCTTTGGTGGTTTTTTGGGTTTTGTGGTTGGTTTGTTTGGTTGGTTTTTTTTGGTCGGGGCATGTTTGCATTTTTCTCACCTTAAATTGTAAAGAATTGCAAACAGGAGTTACAAAGAGTTAGAAGTAACCATTTCAAGCAACATGTCCCTTAACCTCTCACTATGGTGTCTTCTTTAGATAAGTACTAAAGCTTTGGAAAAATGCATGTAACTGGTTGTATTGTTAATAAATAATTTACCCATATGGATCCTCATTTTTAAAGGGTAAAAAAACAGCTCCCTTCCTAGCTAGGAAGAAAAGGCCAAGAAATTCAGGTGTGAACCAGGTGTCTGGTGGAGTAGTCAGTCACTGCAGTTCCCTGGCTATTGCAGTTTCCATCTGCCATTTTCTCTAGGTAAAATGTAGAATAAGTCAGATTTGGGAGCTCTTTATTCTAAGGTCTAGGTCTTTGTATGCCATTGTTTTTTGTTTGGGTTGTTTATTGTTTGGGGGCGGGGGGGCATGCTTTTTTCTTTTTTCCCTGAGTTCAGGTATATCAAAGTTGTACATTGTAAACTTATCTTGTAGGAGCAACTGGTCATGGTGGAACTGTCAGGAATTATTGATTCAGACTTCCTAGAGAAATGTGAAAACAAATGCAAGATTTTGGTGAGTGATTATAGCACAGTAGGAAAGGGGTAAGTCAGTACGCCTGTGAACAGGGGACTGAGGCTATTTCTAAATTCCTTGAAGTTGATAATATTTGGATCAAATCTTACATGTACTGTCTTGGCCTTGCTTGGCTGCATGTTGTTGGCTCTAATTCAGAAATGGCGTATGGTCTTTTGAATATAATATTATGTAAATATAAGGGAACATTTTTAGAAGTATTTATAAGCTGGGACCATTAGCCACTCTGAGCTCTGGGTTCATTTTTTTCAAACTGATGTATTTTACACATTAAAAAAAAATAAATTGTTAAGCATTCTTCATCAAATAACTTGAATACATCTGACAACTAAAGCCAAAATCTGTCTGAATTGTACTGTATTTATAATCGAGTTTCTTCTGCAGATACTGCCTGGCAACTTCAAGGATAACTGGGTATTAAGCATTTGGTAAACAGTTTTGGATGTCAGGTTATTTTAAGAATCTGACTTACCGATCCTTTTCCTTCTGAGTAGTTTAGTCATTTTCTCTGTATGGGACAAATGTTATTTGCCCTTCAAAACCTGTATGGGCTATGAGAGCTCTATAGATAGTATAAGTACTATTGATTTACAAATATTTTCTGAAACTAGACCTTTATTATAGATTGAGAAGATGGAAGACTACATTTGAATATGCCACTGATGAGATTATATGTGAGGTGGAAAAGCCAATGCTGAAAATCTCAAATGTAGAAATACATTAATAATTCATAAATTATCCATCACTAGATATGCTTTTATAAGCAGATTTGCTTCCTGGACCTGGCTTAAGTCACTTGAAATGTATTACACAGATGATTCATGACTGGTGGCTGAATGCCTACATAGTCTTCAGTAGTGTTAATGGGATTCTTTTTAAATTTTGAGATTCTATTGTAATGTTACTAGAGCAACTTGTAAGTATCTGTACTATATTCTACTCGTATCCAAATCTACCTGCACTCGCTCCACAGAGTAAGGATTCCTTGAGATTTTTTGGTAATGGACAACTGTTGCTAAAACTCCAATGATAGAGTCGTCTCTGTGTTACTCTGTTCAGCAAATTTTCTGTGATGCTGGTCACATAAGGGGAAGACAGTCTCCATTTTTGCATAGTCCAGAAAGAAATGCAAATCAGCCAAAGAAATAAAGTTTTTAATATTAAAAACTCTAATGCTGTTGCCTGGTTCTGATGTGTTCATTTTTTAAATTAACTTCTTGTAGTAAAACAAAAAATAAAATTCTACATGTTAGCTTAATGCTATTGATGTTCTCAACTTACGCTGCAGAAAGAGAATCCCAGAGCTTAAATCTTGCTCATCTTATATACTCTGGTTTTTTTTTTAAAGTATGAGAAGAAAATCACACAAATTCCTCTTAAGCTGTGTGATATTCTGTATTTTACATAATTTACCACACAGTGCCTCATCTTCAAAACTTTTCGCATGTGCTTATTCAGGACATGAAGATAATGTTCATGTCCACAATGTACTAATAAAAGACATCTCTTGATTAGTGTGTTCTGCTCAGACATCAATTTTTATCAAAATATAGTTTATAGGTATATTTTATGTAAAGGATAATGGGATCCTGGCCTTTGTATTTGGAAAAGCTCTGCTCTGAGCTGACAGGACTGCTGCCTTACTTTCCCACTCCTTATTTATAAAAAACCAAAAGAATATTAAATAACATTTCCAACTCCTTCATGTTATAGACACACAGTAGTCACAGAAGCTTCTGTGACCCTGCAATTGCACTTGTGGTGCTGGTGTAATGTTTTATGCCACGCTTCTTCACCTTGTGTATTTTCCAAAGATTTTTGAAAGTTACTCTGCTTTATAGAACTTACGCTGATTGGAGCTTAGAAAATAACTTTTTTTTTCATGAAAATATATATATTTTTATATCTTAATTTAAAATGGAAGTTAAATTAATTTCCTAGAGGACATAACAGCACTTTAGATTTATTTACTATAACTTAAATATACTTCAGTTTGATTTATATTTCCTTGATCCTTTTTAACACACTAGAGCATTTTCTACACCATTCAGCATTGTTGGTTTTGTTGTGATTTACTGTGAACAGTAATATTTGTTATATTCTTGGTATTTAATATACTTAAACTGACACATATGATGATAGACTGAAAAGTTGTTATTACATTTACTGTTTTTTTTAACAGTACACTGATTCTACAGGAAGATTGGCTAAGCCTTCTCTCACAGTTGTTATCACTGCTTAAGTAAGCTCCCTACAAAAACAGAAAGAAAACCCCTTCTCCCCCCATCCCTATGTTTAACACTGCAGAAAACCTAAGGGCAATTGTAAAAACTAAAACTTTTTATTAATTTTTTTTGAAAACTAATAAATATTAATGTAATTGCCATTTTTCAGGAGCCTGCTAACTTCTGTAAAATCATATCCACTCTTACCCACTTCCAGAAATCCTGTTTTAAAGATGAACTTTTTGTACAGTTAAAGCTGACAGTTTGAGACAGCTTTGCAGTCCGAAATCCATTCCTTTTCTCTTAATAGTGAAAGAAGCTTATTATTTCACATTTACCATGTTAGGAAATACTTATTTTACTGTTATTACTTTTTTTTTTTTTTTTTTAAGCTGTTTCTCTTCAAGGAATTGATGTAATCTGGGTTCTGCTGTATGTCTTCTCTGGCTTTATAGCAAGAAATCTTCCTGGACTAAGAGACTTGACATCTGTGCAATTTTGTCCCTCTTTTTGTAGGGAATAGAGACAGAGAGACCCATTTTACAAGTGGACAGATATGTATTTGCAGGAGAATATGAAGGTAGGAGAAATGATGTGGATGCAATCTCTCCTTGTTCATGTGGCCCAAAGAACTTTCTAACATAGGTTGATTGCACTGCTAATGGCAAACATGGTCCTGTGAGGTGCTGAATTTCAGGGTGATGTTTGTATAACACTATATGGAGGTGCACCAGTCTGAGTTCACTGCTAAATTAGCCATGCACCCATGTTACTTCCTGAAAGTGTGCCTGGAAGCAGGCTCTGGGCTGCACTAGCTGGTATTTCAGCAGGGAAAAACGTGGGATGTAAATGCTTTGAAGTAAGTGCTTGTTGTCTCCTGTATAAGCAGGACTGACATGTTGTGCAACCTGTAGTTCTCCATTTGCCTCATGGTGACAACACTGGTCTGGAAGAAAATGATCTGGAATCCTTCTTTGTCATGACTTTTGAGTGTGATACTCTGGTCCCTGAGCTGGCGGTGTGGTTACCAGTGCTGGGCCTTTGTGAGGGGCTGGAAGTTGGAATGTTCCCACAGCTGTGCCGGTGATTAACAGTATCTACAGGTGATACAAAATAGTCTCTAAGACTTTCTAACTTTGTTTTCCATAGATACCTTGGGAACGTGTGTGGTTTTTGAAGAGAACACAGAGCACGGTAATTGTGATTTGATGTCCTGTTCGTTGTCGTAGCCGGAAAGGTTAAAAATATGTACCTTGTTTCATTTGTTACGGAATTCACTATTATGATTGGGGTTTGGGTATTGTTTTTTCTCCTTTCTTCATAGTAGATGCAGAAGGCAACCAAAAAGTACAGCTGAAATACAAGTGCCACACAGTGAAGAAGTTGAACATGACGCGGACACTGTTGACGGAAAAGAAGGAAGGAGAAGAGAATGTTGGTTAGTACCTCTGCTCTTATGCACTGCGACATGGATGGATTATACTTAGGTGTGTCAGCACTGACTGATTCAAGAACAAACAGGAAGTTAGGGGAACTTTCTTCTTTAGGCACCAGATATGTATGTTTAAATACAAAAATACAAACACACATACAAAGAGATTCCTTCTGATCATGCTGCCTCCGGAAGTGGCTAGTAGAAGGTTCCTATAAAAGAGTGAGCAGGGCAAACATATGCTGATGTTCCCTGGTGTGTTTTTTCTGTCATCTAAAGGTTTTGGCACTAGTTCTGAAAAAAGAGGCACTGTTCTTCTGTTCACTAAGTTTTTGTTGTTGGTGGTTTTTGCTTTGTTTTGTTTTTTTACTTCCATCAGTTTTTCTAATGACCTTTTGAGTCTCTAATTGTTGAAAATCTCTAATATCCTAAGTAAGAAGTTCCGTGTTGTATGCACTACAGCTGAATTGTTCTGACTGAATTTACAGTTAAGTGTAAATGAATGAATTAATTGAACTTGCTTGCAAAGAGACACCTAGCAGAGCATTCATGCTGATTTTCATTACATAGGCAGAACTCGGTGCTGGTATTATTGCTTTATTTCAGTGGTGTTTTTCATACAGAAGTCGGTGCTTTTACTTATGTGGATATTGAGTACCCTACTACATATAGTAGTATTTATTAGGAATACCTTTTGCTTTTCATTGGTTTGGGGGTTTTTTGATTCTTAAATGTTGCTCAGGCTCAGCCTTAATAACAATGAACTTAAACTAATCAAAAACTGCTGCTTTTAACTCCTTTTGTCACCAATATCGATTTTCCTTCTTTGCATCAGATGGAGTGGAGTGGTTACAGATCAAGGACAGAGATTTTTCCTACAGCAGGCCTAATACGATTTGCAGCTTCCTGCATGAAAAAGAAGATTCTGAGGAGTCTGCTCAGGCCCACGACAAATTGACTGAGGAGTCAGAGGGAGAGGTGAGTGGTGGAAGAAATTCTGACATGAATTGTGATCTGGAGAAGCAGCACAGCTTGGAAATGGATGGCTCTATTCCTCTGCCTGATAGCCCTGCTTCTGGGGCAGAGGATTCTCCTTCTGGAAGTGTTGTCTTAGATGATGCCCCTCCATGATAGCAGCTCTGATCTTTTCAGAACTTGTTCATGGAGTTAATGGGCCAACTTTTATAGGCCATGACATGATTTCCAATTTATCTGAGCAATTAATAATGGAAAAATGGACATTGTGTTCTTGTGCATTGCTTTTGTTTGGCTCATAGTGAGAAGGGCTTAAGTGTTTGGTTTGTTGTTTGGGGTTTTTTTTAAATGCTGACTGGAAATGTGTGTGTATCTACCTCAGAATTGAAGAGGAAATGGTTACATAATTAAAAAAACCCTGCCTTAGAAAAATGTTGAGGTATTGAACAGTCTGGAACATTTTGTAAAAAGGACCAAAAAAAATCATCTGAAATAAAGACCTGAATTTTTCAAATACAGCTTCACTTTGTGTGTCCTGTTCAGCCACATCCTGTATCTGCTCTTGTACTGCAGTTACTGAAAGAAAAAATCCAGTGTGGCTTTCATTACTTTTTTTGAGTTTGAATACTCATCACATTGCTTAGTTTGGATTTCCTCCAGCGTCCTTTTAGTCCTCTTGACCAATGTGGTTCATTCATAGAATGGTTTGGGTTGGAAGGGACCTTAAAGATCATCTAGTTCCAACCCCCTGCCATGGGCAGGGACACCTTCCACTAGACCAGGTTGCTCAAACCCCATCCAACCTGGCCTTGAACACTGCCAGGGATGGGGCATCCACAGCTTCTCTGGGCAACCTGTGCCAGTGTCTCACCACCCTCACAGCCAACAGTTTCTTCCTAATATCTAATACCTATCTCCCCTCTGTCAGTTTAAAGCTATTCCCCCTTGTCCTGTCTCTGTGTGCCCTTGTAAAAATTCCCTCTCCATACTGGAAGCTGCTCTAAGGTCTCCCCAGAACCTTCCCTTCTGCAGGCTGAACAAGCCCAGCTCTCTTAGCCTTTATATGAGTGGTGCTCCAGCCCTCTGATCATCTTCAGATCATAGAGAATAATTATAGCTGCAATGACAATGGTAGGAATGTTATGAACTGGTGCTGTGAGGCATTTGTAGTGCTTTCTTGTACCTTCGGTTTTCAACTTTAGATCAAAAAGGGACTTGAGGAGCAAATGCAACAACCTGAAATCTGAACAACTCTGACTGAAGGCCTGTGGGCTTTGAAATAATCAGAAACTGTTCAGATTTAAGAGTAGATACTGGTTGAAAAGTGATGCTATCACGTTAGGGAGGTGAGGCAGAAATAAACCTTTGGCATTTGGTTTCTATTGCATGTAAGGTCATGTTCTCCACTCATAACAGTCTTCTCAAATAAGCAAGTTTGGGGTGAATGGCTGTGCGTTAGCTGCACAACTCTGATGTGGTTCCCAACACACCAGGGATGAGAGGAGGGCAAGTGAACACGTCAGGAACACGTTGACCAGCCGCCGCTGCGGCGATGTTCAGCCGCGGAGCTGCATCGTTATTTTCTGCCGGTAACTGACCCACCACTTACCGTTCACCCCGATCTGACTGCGCGGCTCACTCTACGCATGCGCACTGCGCCAACCCCAGCGCTTCCTCCCGCCCTCCCCGCGAAGGATGTGACGTACCGGATGATAGTGCGTGACGGCGGCGCGGCGCGCGCGTGAGGTGGCTCGGTAGCTATGGACCCGCTGGACCGGGTGGTGTGAGTATGGCGGCGGCGAGGAGGGGGTAAACGGGAGGGAGGAGAACCGAGCGTTGCCGTCTCTTTGTTGGTATCAGACAGCCCTTGCTCCGTAAAGGCACCGCGGTGAGCGGTTGGTGTTGGGTATGTGTATTCCTCTCTTGTGAAAGAGCTGTCTTCAGCTACAGGTGGAAGTACCTGTGTGAGGTGGATTGCTTCTTTGTAAAGGAACTAAACAAAATGCTTCCTGGAGAAGATACTAAAAGCTTTGCATTCATCTAGTGGAGAAATGTAGCCACGTAGTTATTAATGTGTACTAGCGCTGTGCCCCTGCTAAGGCTGGTGTGTCTCACCTTAGTAATGCCCGTACTGCTCTCTGATTCGTGCCAATAGATGTACCGTACGTGAGCTGTATTATGGAGATGTACCGTACGTGAGCTGTATTCTGGTTGCCGCTGGTGGTCTTTGAGGAACTGTGTTTTCTTCTCATGTGTGAATCTCTGACCTGGGGAAGGTGCTGGTGTGAGGGGAAGATTTAAGCACATAGGTCTGTAGGAACGTTGGTGTCGTTTAAGCTTTAGATTAGCAGAAACTGAAAAACCCAAGACCTTAAAGTCACCTTTGCTAGTTTGGGGAAACAGAGAGGAAAAGGAGTGACAGTAAAATACATTAATCTGAGACTGGGTTTTTAGCACTAATTGTAATTCTGCAGGTTGGGATTAGTTTGAGTTACCAAAACAAGTTACTTGAACACAGCTTGTTCCAGTTCTTGCTGTTTCACTGTTTTCTGCAATGTAGGATGTTGTTACTAATATTAAGTTTTTAACTGTTAATTTGTTACAGAAAGCCTAAAACTAAGCGAGCAAAAAGATTTCTTGAGAAGAGAGAACCCAAGCTTAAAGAGAATACGAAAATTGCTATGCTCATAAAAGGAGGAAATGCAAACTTAATGGTGACCGAAGTGCTTAAAGACATTGTAAGTGGTTGGATATAGAATGCAACCTTTCTTTTTTTGTTAGAATTTGCATATTCTCAGCTGCAAGATCAATATTTTTGTACTCTCTCTATTTCCCAGATCAGATTGACCAGCACTTCAGAGGTGTCTTTACCTACCCTGCAATGGAGATGTTATTTTCTTTATTTTCTTTCTGTTACTGTCTTTCAGTTCCTTTGCCAGAGGTTTTGAGCTTAATGCAATTTTTCCCATGATTGTCCAGTATAGAAGGTGAAGTGTTGCAAATCTGTTTGCAAATAAAAGGATTAGGTACAGAATTGGGACTGGATCGCTCAGCTGAAGTTGTATCTCAGAATCCTGCAAACTGCTTATGTGTATTGATGAAGAGCTTTCAGGCTCTTCTAAAACTTAAACTTACCAATCCTAACCAGTCTTCTAACTCCATACCTGAAAATATTATAGCAGTCCCTACACTCTTTTCTGTCAGTGCTTTGTCATTTTCTTCCCATCTTATGCTGCTGATGAGGTGATTGTTTACTCCTGTTTTTTCCTCATGTCCCTAGATAGAAGCAGAAAGATTCCATTACATGGCTTTGATTTCAGCTCTTTCTTACTTATTTTGTTATTTCATTGCTTCTAGAAATAAGACCTTCTGCAATTAATTGGGAACCAAGATTGCTATGAACTTGAAAGGCATTGTTGTGAGCAGGCCTTTTGAGGTGCCTTCTAGACCCACTTGTACAAACAATCATTCTGTTTCTTGTGATTATGAAAATTGTAGGGTTTTAGAAAAAGCAGTGCTGTGTACGTAAATGTTTTGGAGCTAATGAGTCTAAATTTGTGTTTTGCAGTATGCTGTGAAGAAGCCTTTTGCTGTACTGTATAGAAAGTAAGTGGTCTCACTTTGATTTCTTTAAGTCTGCTGACAAGACAGCTTTTGGTAATTTCAAAGCATTAATAGAGGTGCTGGCCAGGATGGGGGCTTGAGCAATGGAAAGGGATGCAGAAGGGGACTGGGATTCATCATAAATTTCAGTAGACTGGAAACAAGTTAAACGAGATCAGTATTGGTGCTTAGCCCAGTTTTGTGCCGAGTGTTACGGGGCAGGATTTGGTCAACTTGAACAGTTGGCAAGGTTCTGTCAGGCGGGTAGGCTGGAGTTCTCATGTCTGAATTCTTATAAATTTGAGTTACAGATCATGATGATAGATAAGTCTTGCTCAAAATGGGAACCCAGTATCTGTATGGTTGTAGTACAGAGACATTAATTCTAATAGCTAAATTTAGTGTTAGATGAACAGGGAAAAGCAGTTGTTTATGAAGTGTCACTGCTGCTGGTGGTGGTGGTCTGTAACTCAGCCCAAGGAGACAGGAAATGTGGAGGACAGTGCTTAAAATGGCACTGGTGGCACTGAGGCACTCCCAACAGTACTAATACGGTTTAGGGTTTGAACTAAACCTGAACCTCTACTGCTGGAGTTTCCAGTAGAATGCAGAATTCTAGTGTTATCAGAGAACTAACTAGAAGTGCTTGTCTGGGCCTGGGTTTGGTTAGTTGTTTGAAATCTTTTTCTCTTATTTTTTTTTTCCCCCCACAGGAAAAATATTACTAGGCCTTTTGAGGATCAAACATCATTGGTAAGTATAAACTACTTCCCTTATGATATTTTACAGTCAAGAAGAACTTTATTGGAGGATAATTTTGTTATTGCTTTGTGAGAAACTAGATGAGAAATAAAGTTTGTAGGGAGTTTGGGTAAGTGGAAAGTTGGGCTATGTCTAGATTTACAGTGTCAGTAGGCATATTTTTACTCTGACAGAATCAAGTTGTGAGGACTTTGTCTTTACTGTAAATGCATGTTTCTGTAAACTGACAGGCAAATTTAAGAGCTGATCTAGTTCCAACCCTCCTGCCATGGGCAGGGACACCTTCCATTAGACCAGGTTTCTCAAAGCCCCATCCAACCTGGCCTTGAACACTGCCAGGGATGGGGCAGCCACAGCTTCTCTGGGCAACTTGTGCCAGTGTCTCACCACCCTCACAGTAAAGAAATTCCTTGTATTTAGTCTAAATCTACCCTGGTTATATGCCCTTGTCTGGATTTGGTGTTGATTCAGTGCTTTGAGTTCAAGATAATTTATGAGCAGGAAGGCAAAAAATAAAGGGGCTCATCCTAAGATTATATCTTACACATTTGTACTTCAATTGAAGCATTACTTTAACTGCTGAAATACCCCTGTTATAAAAGCAATGTATGTATTTCCTTAAAAATGAGAGAAAGAAGATAGTGACATAGCTTTACAATTAAGACAAAATTAATTATCCCAAAATAAGTTGTTTGATTCCTAGTGATTGTGATTTCTAGTTTGTTCTGTGCCACTGCTGACTCGCATAGGGAAATAAGGGTCAGCTTTTCATTGCCTGAGACAGTTACTAAAATAACTCACTGAAGATGCATGCTGAAGTTGGCAGATTGGGGGTATTGTAGTAAGTAAATCTGTGTGTGTAGAGGAAAAAGATGTATACATTCATGTATAGACACGAGGCATAGATGCACTTTCCCGTCTGAAAGAGATTATGTAACTAAAGGGGAAGCATACGTAAGGAATCCCCTCTAAATAAAAAGGGAGAGGAGAGATAGCTATGGATAATTAAGGA